CACCATCCCTTTCGATTACCTGCAGATCTTACCCCGTCAATAGATCAGAGACCAATAAAAACCCTTGGGTATTCATCCTCTGAATCTAGACTGAAGTCAGGTGTCGTGGGATGGCGCTTGTCTGCCTCCAGGGTGCAATCGTAACATCCGAGAGAAACCCGTCCATCGATACCCATGACTTGACCCGCAAGAAATACCGCCCATGCCTGGTCGCCCCCGGTGGGTAAATATGTATGATACTGGTTGGTACCATCCATGGGACGTTTGTGCTTCTTGGACATCCAGGTAGAAGCTTTGATGATCAAAGCTTTAGCTCGTGAAGCATGCCCAGGGCAGGGAGACTTCGCTTTGCTGAGGCTTTGAACCACCACCACCATGATGTCATAGATTCCAGAAACACCTATCGACTCTCCATGAACTCTCCCAACAAGCGCGATCTGTCTTTGCATTGGGGCATAGTCTAGTCTTGCTCTCTCGAAGTTGATGTAAAGTGGAACGTCCGGAGGCTGTTGGCGTGGCTCGCTTACGAAACTAGACTGACTGGGTACTATAGACTGGTCATTTCCCTCGCCTGTGCCTGTGGCATAACTTGCCCAATCGTCAGACTGTGTAGTCTCGACACTACCGTCTACGATATGCGCAGGCAAGTTTGCGAATACTAGGTTCTCGCATCTGAAGCCAATGGCACTTGGATCAACCTTCATGTTGAACATCAGGTTTGGTAAGACAGTGTAGCCATTCCCCTGATACCCGATAACATGCCCATCCCATGCGTTGTCCGAAGGTCCAAAGTTCAGTGGCAAGCTCGCATGACATATCGCAAGCAATCTCAGCACTCCACCAGATGGTAATCCCCGTTCCAGTTCTTTCAACAACCCGGAGAGAAGCTGTAGAGCAGTGTGGTCTGTATAGTTGCAAGGTCGATACAGGTCTATGCGTGTCGCATGTGCCAACATATCATAGTTCTCCCCCCCAAGTATCTCTGCAATCGCAAGAACAATGCAGATCACGATGATCTTCCAGTGCCGCACTGACTCTGGTTCCGGCCGTTCGCAGTCTGTTGCCATGTCGAAGTCGCGCATTTCTTTCATCACTGCGTCGGAAGCAAGTTCATCGAAGCAATCAGCGACATTATCAGCGACTTTGGAAGTGAAGAATCGACAGGCCAGGCCCACGCACAGACTGTTCTTGGTTTTGGAACTCTTCTGCCAACGAGGCATCGCAACCAAGGCTGGTACAATGCCGGCTTCATCACGTCGTTGAACAGTCCAGGTGAAAGTAAGCCTGCTCCGCATCTTGGCCCGTATACCATTGAAGTCGGTTTGAATCTTCTCTGGGCTTAATTCCGCTGGGCCTCCAGATGCAAGGAACAGCATAGAGCCAGCAGTTTCGTTACGATAGTGGTGAATGTGCTGAACGTCGCCCTCGGATGTTGGGCAGTCTTCGTCTTCGAATGCAAGAGTATCCGTGACGTGATGTCCACTTGTGACAAGCGTCAATCCGTCGTACACGCCGGGTGGGCGATCATTACTCGAGATGCGGATTGGCCCTATCAGCCAGCCAACGCTCTTCAAGCATGCAGCAACGCGAACTACGTCCGCGCTTCTTGTAAGATAGTGACTTCTGCGTGTTTGTACGACCCATCTTAGCAAGCCCCCAATATATTGATCATCTGTGCTGAGAGTTCGGGATCCCGTAGGTGTGAATGCTGGAAGTCGGGTCTCTTTGATGGCTTCTTCGAAACGAGTCGGTAGAGAGCGAAAGACTCCTTCTTGGACGATATGATGAGCGTTGTCGGTAAGCTCACTGAAAAGCAGGTCCTTAACACCTGGATCCACACCTTCTTCGAGAAGAGTAGGTACTATGCATTTCATGAACATACGGACACCAAACTCAGGTCCAAAAAGGTGCGACAGCGCGCATATGGTGTATCCCACTAGTTGAGTCCTTGGATCTCCTCCGAAGCAGGCTTCTGGGTCTGCATCATTTAGGAGTCGAATACCGTTGGTTGTGAGAATGTGACAGGTGGCCGGCAGAGTCTCTGGTTTGAACCCCAAGTCCTCCACTCGTGTGAGAGAACTGAGCCCAGGTATATATCTGAAGACCTTAACAAGCTTTTCGAGGCCACCGAAATGGTTCCATAATGATGTGATAAGAGTAGCCGTAGCTAAGACATCGGGTGGCCCAAGTTGAAGTCCTCCTATCCTCCCATCCGGTTGGATTATTGCAGTCATAGTGAGATCGTGTTCTTCGCATTAGATGATAGGCAAGTCATCTGAAACGCTCTTCGAGATTTTGAGCAACCTCAAGTATTAAAGACCGACAACTCGCAAAGCATATCAAAAGGAAACGGAAGCTGGCGTGCCGCGAGATGAGCCAATGGAGGAAGTTTCTTGCGCATGTATATGCAAATCATACGTCACCAATATATGGCTTCGACTCTAGATCAGCGCGGTCTGGGATTACCACACGTTTAGATTGGCCGTTGAAAGGCAGGCATACTACAAGGCAGACTTATCTTCGATTTCCAGCGCTCTTTCGAAGATTTGAGCCTTGTGAGTTGCCTATCTCCGGTGAATTGGCCAAGCGACATGCGATGTTGGTTGGCTGATTCAGCCTTGCTCAGCAATGCACTCCTAAGCGAAAACACGGCACGATATGCAAGCCAATTCTTACGAAAGCGGGATATGACGGAGCTGACTATCCGGTAAGCAACAAACAGAAGCGACAGTTGTCATCGAAGTGTGCTAGTAGCCACGTCAATTACACTTTGTTCCTTCGAGACATTTATTGCAAACTACCTTGAATATTCTGCGTACAGTTACCTTCTGAGAGCGATCATAGCAAAAGCGAATGAAGGGTGGTTGAGTATTTCGGGTCGGTCGTTGCAAGCTCGATCACAGCCATCCCACCCTCCTTCCGATGATGCTCACACCCCCAAGCGCAGCGCTAACCCCCGTCCACACCACCAAACTGCCATATTGCGTCCCATACAACCCATGCTCACCGAGAGTCCCCGTCTTGATCAAAGCCTCGCTGATAGGCCCACTCACAATATTCCCAATACCCCTACCCATGCACAAGAACGAGAATACCATGGAGCTCTCCATCTGTCCCGTACTCGTTTGCACTGCTCTCATGATACCAGGCCAAGTATTCGCGAAGCTGCCTGCGAAGAGCCCGTAGGTGAAGCAGAAGATTAGCAACGGTGGTAGCGACGTGCTGAAGCCCCAGATCAGGAAAGTGGAGATCATGGCACCGATGGTGGATATGAGGATGGCGGTGGTGACGTGTGTGCGATCGATGATGCTTCCCATACTAACGGATCCGATGACAGCGGCGACATTGAGGAGAATGAGAGGAACGGCGGAGACTGTGCTGCTGAATCCCAGGGCTTTGGTGTATGTAGGAAGGTCTAAATTAGCAAAAGTTAGTGTAGTTCTCGCATTTAATTCGTACAGAGACACTTACAAATAGATGGTACAAAGAATCCCAAGCCCTGCAAAATGTTGCCAGACTGCAGAACCCAAAAGGTCTTGTTCGTGAGGAAGGTGAAAGTGATTCCACACCTAGTAGTTGCCGAGACTGGCAGCCGTGGTTTGATAAAGATTGTGACGGGTAGAAGAACTGCAAAGAGTAGGCCTGCCCATATGCGTAGCGTGTTGCGGAAGCCATAGCGACTGAGAAGGAACTGCAGCAACAGCGGAATGACGACGCCGCCAAGTGCTGTACCTGCCCACATGATACCAAATGCGAGACCTTTGCGTCTTACAAACCATTCATCCAAGAGTATGATACAAGGACAGTACACTATTGCGCCACCAACACCATAAAAGATCCCTTGAGTGACGATGAGTTGCGGTACGGTCGTGCACAGAGAGCTCAGACCAAGCGAAAGGCACATGGTGAATACACCAGCGACCATGGCCTTCCTTCTGTACTGCGGCCAGCGGGTGAACAAACCAAAGGTCAATGGCGCGATCATGTACAGAATACCCATCGCTGAGGTGCCGATAGCTGGGATACCAGACGAACCAGCGAATTCCGGGGATGAACTATAGTACTCTTGGAAGATACCATACGACCATGGAAAACCTGTTGGTTACATTAGCAAAAGTTTCAAGTTAGGTATCAATATGGAAGGATTGCTTTGGAAGAGATGCAGTCATGATGATACTACGAGGGCAAAGGCGTAGTCAATGAAACACTTCACACTCACCCCATACCATCATCTCCACCATAAACCCAGCCGCAACGAACAACCACGCATCTTTCCCGCCATCAGTCGGCGGTAGTAAAGACTCGTTCTCGTTTACGGGCTGCTCGTTCCATCGTTGGCTTGATTCAAGCTCGAATTCCGATTGGTTGTCGGGCGTGGTGCCGGTGCTTGTAAGGGCCGATTGAGTTCTAGTCTCCATGATGAGTGTTGAACGTAGATATCGTCAGAATGCTGCTCTAGAAAACATCCACAGAGGGCTTCAATTATATAGCAATCCATTCTGCGCTGATGCTGTATGATATCAACGATAAATGCATAGCAATTTGTTGACCGCAGGGTCCTCCGACCCAGATCGTGCCCAACATGCCAATAAAGATGTGCTGTTCAGCTCTAACACAGGAAGAGAAAAGCGATCCCTCCTCGAAAGCGGGGCATGGCAGACTGGTAGAGATGTCATAATTTGGAAAGAGTGCATGGCGCTGATTTCAAAGCGCTTTCGGAGTGGGCGACGCAGCGCACATGGAACTCCGAGAGGCGCCGGAGTTCGGCATAGAGTGCTCCAGTAGCTCATCGGTATCGCAATGGAGTCGGAGGCGACATCGCACAGCTGAACACGCGCATTTGATGGGAAAAAAATTGATGAGAAATCTGTTCACGGTTTTCGCGCCTGATGTCTGATGATGCAGATCGCATCGGTTGAGCGCTAACTGTCCTTTGGTCGTAGCTCCCGCCGCATCCATGTAGGCGAGAACGGCACCTTCCCATGTCCGGACGTAATGTCCTACGCTTTCTCGGGCTCATCCAACAAGTAGCCATCCCTCCTACCTAGCACATCCTCGACGGTCTCGTCTGTGAATTTCAAGTCCTCCTCAAGCGGCACCGTGTCTTTGATCTTCAACAGCATCACTGGCAGCGCGACGATCAAGCTTCCAGCCAACAACACCCAACTGGATAGGAATATGTCCATGTAAGGCCTCTTGTAACCGTCTAGGCGGAACACGATAGCTGCGCCAGCTGATTGAATGCCCTTGTAAAAGCCAGCAAAGTTGGCGAGCTTTCGACTGTTGTTCGAGATTGCGCCCATGAACCTGAGGGCTGTTAGCAGAGAGCATGCCAATGGAAAGACAGTCTTACCAGTACACGCATGTCTGCCATGCCGCATCGTAGAAGCCGTAGCTGATGTACAACACCATTGGGCCGCCTGCATGGGTAAAGACAAAAAGTCAGTATATGTCTCACATGCATTTCGCACATGATTTTCACGTACCATACCCGCCGTCTGTCCAATCGAAGTGGTGGCTATCATCGTCGCGACGATACCGCCGTTGGAATACGTACCCTCCTCCCCAAACGGCGAAGGTCAACAATAGCATGACTACCCAGGCAATCTTCGCTCTGGTAGTCCTCCTGACGTTCGGGAAATCCAGTGCAAATCCAAACACACCAGCTCCGAGTATCTGCGCCAACCAATAAAGCGCATTGTTGAGTGCGCGCGTCCGCACATTGAAACGTGCGTAGTTGACGTCGTTAAACTGGTACGTGTAGAACCAATTCGAAGCGAAGAACATCGGAAAGAGGAGTATGATATACGGATCCGTACGCAGAGTCTCCCAAAGACCCAGGATCTCGGACTGCCAAGTTGGGTGTTTCATCATGATAATTCGGCTGCCGTCGCGTCGTATGACGTGTTTGGCATCAGTGAGTGTCCAGGAGAGGCAGGCGCCGAGGAATGTGAGGACCATAAAGCCGATGTATGTCTGGTCAGTGACAGCTGCTGGCCCGTCTGCGTTTTGTGTATCAAAGTTCAGCCCAAGCTGGACCAGGCTACCAATAACAGCACCCATGTTGAAGATGCTATCATAAGAAATTAGCTTATCTCGGTACGGTCCGTACAGCGACACCTACATCCAGAATAAAGAGATATACCGCCCCTTCTGCTTCTCTGGCGGATAACTCATCCTGCAGAGGTACGAAGTCAGTATATGTCTCACATACTCTTCATAAGTCAGCTTACATTATGGCACCTTGCGCCGACCACAGTATGCCAGCGCAACATCCTAACAAGAACCCAGAAAAGACCACGTAGCCCAAGTTCTGAGTTTTGTTGAAGCAAAGCAATGCACTGACGTAAACGCAATACCCCAGACCGCCGAAGGAAAGCGCAACTCGAATACCGAGGACATTGGTGATAGTGCCAGCGAAGAAACCGACGATTGCAAAGGTAGCATAAAGTGTAGTATTCGCAGCGTTGCTGGCATGTGCATCATCGTCGAGACCTGCGGCTCCGATACCATTGACGGCGTTGAACATGCCTGTGTAGAGTTAGTAAACTGTGCGTTACTACGATCGTGTGCTGCCTACCGGGACACAAGAAGCAGACAAATGAGACTAATATCAATTGCGATTCTGGCGATGCATAGCATGGAAGCTTGATGGGTCCGATTCTCAAGCTGCGGTATTTCCATCCTTTCGGTCTTTCGAAATCTCCATGGTCGCCGTTACTGACAGGCGCTCTTGCGCTTGCCCACCCAGAGTCGTCGGTTTTCGCCATTGGTGCTCGTATAACTGACGGGGCGTCTCGTGGGACTTGAGCCTTGTATTCAAGCAATTAATCGGCGAGCTGCAAGTGGGGATGCTGTAGATGTAAAAACGGGATGATGTTGATTCTACCGTGCGAACCTGAAACGACGAGACAAAGGAAGGATTCAGAATGCGGGTCAGGCTGGTCTGTTCGTCTTAGTAGCTGTTGCTGGATCGCTCACGTACGATGGGGCCAGTTGAGTCCGATCTGCGGACGTGCATGCAGTCGTGCTTTTCGATAGATGGACTGATTGGCGCAGTGCATGATTGTGGCAGCGCAGTCTCGCTATCTTTGTCTCACCAGCTGTGTTACCACACCCTTCTTTATGCAGAGTGCCCAATTCTGGGGGTGGAAGCTATCCATGCTTGGTATCGTCAGAATGCTGAAGTCCTACTTAATCTCAAAATGCTGTCCTCTGGTCGATATATTTCTGTTTGGTGCACTAAGATCGGTTACACGAGCAAGGCTCGATCGTAAGCTCACTTTGCGCAGCTCAGCCCGTCGCGTAAGACTGCTATGTGCGGCGCGCCTATGTAAGCCCGTGGCGTACCCCAACGCCAAATTGTGAACGCAACCTGCGTCCACAGAGATGGCTCCGCCCACTGCGGAGATAGAGCCAAGACATGCAAAGTACCACTGCGAGTCGCAACACGTATCAGCCCAGTAAGCTGGAAGGTCCATGTGCTCGGAATGAGGTGCGGAGGTCAAAATGGACGCATTGGGATATGTTTCGGCCCCATCATCTTGCTCGTACGTCTACGCCTCTTTCCATCACATTCGCAAAGCCCTTCGTGAGAGATATGTGACAGGCGTATCATGGCGCGCATCGACCAATAGGGATAGTTGTGTTCGGCCCTTGGTCGAAGTGCACAAGCAAGGGCATTGCGAAACCAATAACCCCGCCGGCCCCAATGGTATAGACTTTCAATATTTCTTCCATGTGTCTATTGGACGGCAAAGTTCAAGATCGGCGTCGCTGTGTACTCCAGCGTTGAGTAGTTCTCCCGGTCAGGCTCACCGCATGATCTACTGCTCCATGGCGTAAGCCACGACCTGTGTAGCTATCGGTACTTTTCACGTCACACTGCATAGCATAGCGTCTGCGCAGCCAGCAATTTGATTTCTCCTGGGCCTCACACCCATCGCAATGCAAATATCGACCATCTGCGATGGAGAGAGTTGCAACCACACCGGCGGATGCATCTTCCGCAGTTTCGGTTCTGAACAAAACGGCTTGGGCGTTGTTTGTATCTCTTTCCGAACTCAACCTGGACGCGAAACATTGCGATGCATCCCTTGACAATCTTGTGGGGGAGGTGAAGTCGCTTGGGAATGAGTGTTACCAGATTCACCTCAAACTGGCAGAAGTCGCAAGCAAGACCAAGACAGGGTCACCTCCACCCTATGATGGAGATGGTCGAATGTGGAGTTGCCTGGCAACTCAGGTCGAGGATGCAAGTCAGACTATAGATAGCCTGAACTCATTCGTCAGCGCTGTCAGGATGGAAGAGGCCGAAGAGGCCAGCGTTGTGTTCCAGCCGCAACGCCTTGTCGAGCTGCACAACAATAAGGAGCAGATTGAAGAAATGGGAGCCGCTGTACACAGACACAGCGACAATCTGAGAACTACGTTACTTCTGATTCAGGCGTAGGTCCTTCCTTGCACCAAAATTGTTTTCAACCGCTGAATCGTCTCCCAGGGTCCTCTCCTATATTGCGCCTATTCAGGCCGAACGACGTCCTGCACCTGACGTCATGAAGCTTCAACAAATGGTTAAGAAGCTACAACGATCATCCCAGGTCGGTCCGCCATGGCGGTATTCTCATACGGAGGCTACGTTGATGCAGTATGCGCAAGAGGTTATCGTGAAAGGAATGAATACTCCGGAAGCCAACCCACGGGAAGACATTATAGCTCAGACTTCACCCAAGGTCTCTAGCGATAGCGATCGTCTGCCATGGATGAAGGCTATCCAAGCAATACGAGAAGATCGAAAGGAGTCGGTGCCAACAAAGAGCCCTAGGAGAGCTCTCAGTGTCTTGCGAGGTGCGGCTCCACTTCAAGGTGTACAAGAGCGTGAGACATCCGACTCGGACGATGATCTGGACACCGACTTCGCGAAAGCGGCCTTGAGCACAGGCTCGCAAGCCTTCGATTCCGGAAGTTGGGACGAGGCGGACTCTCTACTCCAAGAAGCACTCAGAATATTGCAAGGGCTGTCAACGCGCCAACGCGCATTCTGTGACGTGTTCAGCCTCTTCTACAGGCTTGCAGTCTGCGCCTACCACGTTCAGGAACCTGTGGATGCGGCAAAAGCTCTGATCGGATTTGTCAACCAGCCAGCAGACTCTGATCAGCAACGTGAATGCATTCACAACGCGACGCACTTGCTGTCTCAGTTATATGTCCGAATGAGGCAACTCGACCGTGCACGAGCCGAATGCGAGAAGGCCTTACAAGCAAGAAGACGATTACTGGGAAAACGGCATGCTTCGTCTTTGGAGTCCTTGGCTCTTATGGCTCACATTTACGTCTTGCTCAATAACCGTGCGCTTGCGAAATCCTGCCTTGCCATGATACCGGAGGCAAACCGAGAAGCCTCTTTGAAGGCAGTCGAAGAATCGCTGCAAACGAGCGTAGAGCACCTTGAGTTTTCTTCGCTTCTCTCGCGTGCGAGACCCTCCGAGACCGATGCGATAGGAGAGCGACCTCGCAGCAGACTCTCCGAAACAAGCTTGGAAGCCTCGCCAGAACCTACTGGGAGCGACTCAGCATCTGTGTCCATGGTACTGGCTGCTCGGCCTTGGAAAGCGCCTCGAAGTGTTATATCCGAGAACATGACTCTGGTGGATTCCAGCCCTCCAATGGGAAAATCGCAACCTTCTGCATCAAACAGAGTAGAATGGAGGCCGTCAGAGGATGGAAGTTGGACACAGGGCTACTCTCCTAGCCCGAGAAAAGCAGAACCAGTGATTCCGAGCTCGGATGAACCCAGGCATATGGCGACATCCGAGGGAAAGCCCTTATCTCGCAAAGAGATCCTTGGTAAAGTCGGATGCCAACCAAGGGATCGGACCGAAGAGGCTGTTTGCGATGGAGATCATGGAGCGTTGACAGCTATCCTTAACAAGAAGAAGGGGTTCTGGCGCTCGAGTGTGCGCAAACGGGGCCGCCCAGAGCGAGTCACCGCGCTACACTTCGCCGCGCTGCTGGGAGAAGTGGTTATGGCGAGGACCCTGATCCAAGCGGGGTTCAGCGTCAACGAAGTTCCTTTTGGCTACTCAACAACTCTAACGCCGCTCAACTTCGCTGTAGGCGCTCGACAAGTGGCCATGGTCGACTTGCTCACTGCCAATGGAGCGGTGCCAGCCGAGCCGGACACCTGGTCGACCTTGGCCGGACAGCTTATGAGTCGCTCATGGCTGATCAAGACCACGTCGGATGCCGACAAGCACCTCGTTCCAAGCCGCATCATCGCAGTCATGGATGTCTTGCTCAACCGCGGATGGGATATCAATGCACCGATGACGACATCCGGGGGAACCGTGCTGCACCAAGCTGTTTCTTTCTGGACAGGCGCCTACAAATGGGATCTGGATCTTCGAGCCACAGTGACATCCTTCTTATGCGAGAGAGGAGCAAATCCGTTTCAAGCGAATGCAGAGGGCAAGAGCCCTTATGACATTGCCTCTGATTCGGAACATCAAGATCTCCTGGCGATCATCGAAGAACATTCCAGGTCGAAAAGGCTCACTGGCACGGCAGCCATGCCGGCTGAGCTGTCCAGTCATCAATAACGAGGCCATCTAAGCTTGAGATTTGGACCCGGGAGACTGATCTCCAGCGTGATCAGTAATTGGGGTCACAGGAAGTCTAGAGTGGTCAGCATCATCGAATAGTTTTGATCGTGCCATACGTTGGAGACAAAAAGGCTGCCATACAATGATCGAATGTCTCATGTATGTCTTATACGCAAGGTCACATCCTCGTAGATTCGCCTATGTACCTAGATGCGACGACTGGACAGGTGGAGAACTGAAATTGAAGGAAAGGCTAGCCGTCCTCCTAGAAGAAGACAACGGGATCTGCCTGTAGTTGGCTGAGTCCAGGAAGAGAGTCATGCATGACGGTACAGAAGACATCGTGCGACGCCGGCGGATCATCCTGCTTATCCGTCAAAGGCGTAAGCCGCACATTGCGGACTTGGTTCTTCGCTTCAGGACTGAGATGGCGTATGAAGTCGAGAACAGGTAGATAATTGAATGCATAGAAATGGAACTGGTTCTCTGAGTAGATGATTTGCAGGCATTCGTGATAGATCAGGCGGTTCGTTCGCAGAATGTCCAGAGTCAAATGTCTATCTGGATGCGGGCGGCAGTTCTTGTTCCATTTTCTGTTGATGGATCGAGAGTCGCAGTCGGTGTACAGAATGAAGCGTTTGTTTGACGATGGTAAGACGTACCGGAAGATCTCTCTCCGGATCTCAGATGGAATGCGCAGTAATGGTGGATATGTATCCAAAGGCGATATGGTCTCGGCTAGCGACATTTGCTTCTCTACACTCTCTTTAGAACGACGGTCCAGACGACGTAGGCGGATATCCTCCGTTGGCTTGGGTGTGGGCGCCATCTATACACACGTCAGTGCCACTAAAGACCACAAGTACGGGATGACCTGACCTTCTTGGCAGATGTCTTGGCCGGCATGCTCGTAGAATGGGCGCTTACGGGAGAGAGTCTGTGGATGCGATCGGGGCTAATGGGAAGTCCTGCGATAGGTTCACCCTATGAGACGAAGCGGTCACGAAGTCACATGTGCCGTGTCAAAGTCACTACGCAGCACGGGATTGATCGTATGGATGCTGCGACGACGAGGAATGCAGGCTGGAGGTTTGGGGGTTATGCGATGGCGTACTGTGTCACAACGCATGGAAGGTTGAGAGAAGGTCGGAAGAAGGTTGTCAACAAGGGCACGGACGGCCTTGGCAACGAGACGGACGTGCCCTGGAAATGGAAAATTCACGGGAACGCGTTCCCCGCAGACAAGTTGGAAACATACGGCTGCGCATACCCCTCACATTACACCGCCAGCTTTGTTCGAGTTCCAAAGCTTCCACGACCTGAATCCAAGTTTTTGTGTTTGCACCATCAGCCAGCATGTCGTTCGGCGGTCAAACACCGACCATTGTGGTGTTGCGGGAGGGTAGGTGCCTCGACACTTTTTGATACACACGTAGCTTACAGCTTCAGGTACCGATCAGTCACAGGGTCGCGGCCAGGTAATATCAAACATCAACGCCTGCCTCGCTGTGCAGGCCACGATCAAGGGCACCCTAGGACCGTATGGCGGTGATCTGCTCATGGTCGACGAGAATGGCAGGCAGACAATCACCAACGACGGCGCCACGGTCATGAAGGTAGATTATGCCACAAAACTTTATTATATGCACTAATACTGACTGCATGCAGCTTCTCGACATCGTCCACCCCGCTGCCCGCGTCCTCACCGATATCGCACGATCGCAAGATGCCGAAGTGGGCGACGGTACCACGTCCGTTGTCGTCATCGCCGGAGAGATACTGAAGGAGATCAAGGACTTTGTCGAGCAGGGAGTCAGCAGCCAGACCATCATGAAGGGTCTGCGGAGAGCGTCGCACCTTGCTGTCAACAAGATCATGGAGATTGCTGTAGACACCGCCGAGGGCAACCAGCGGGATACCCTTCAGAAACTCGCCGCGACCGCCATGAGCAGCAAGCTCATTCACAGGAACGCCGACTTCTTCACAAAGATGGTCGTGGACGCCGTACTTTCGCTCGATCAAGACGAGTTGAACGAGAAGCTCATCGGAGTAAAGAAGATTACCGGTGGTGCTCTCCAGGACTCGCTGTTCGTTAACGGTGTCGCATTCAAGAAGACCTTCTCATACGCCGGTTTCGAGCAGCAACCGAAGACCTTCAAGCAGCCCAAGATTGTCTGCTTGAACGTCGAACTCGAGCTCAAGAGTGAGAAGGACAACGCTGAGGTACGGGTGGAGCAGGTCTCAGAATACCAGGCGATTGTCGACGCAGAGTGGCAGATCATCTACAACAAGATGGAAGCGCTATACAAGACGGGCGCCAAGGTTGTTCTGAGCAAGCTCCCCATCGGCGATTTGGCGACACAGTACTTTGCAGACCGCGACATCTTCTGTGCCGGACGAGTTGCCGCAGACGACCTCGACCGTGTCTGCCGGGCAACGGGCGCGAGCCTCCAGTCTACTTGCTCCGACATCCAGAGCAAGCATCTCGGAACCTGCGAATCCTTCGACGAGCGACAAATTGGTGGCGAGCGTTTCAACTTCTTCCAGGGCTGCCCAGAGGCCAAGACTTGCACATTGGTGCTCCGTGGTGGCGCAGAGCAGTTCATTGCCGAGGTCGAGCGAAGCTTACACGACGCAATCATGATCGTCAAGCGTGCGATCAAGAACAGGAACATTGTTGCCGGAGGTGGCGCCGTCGAGATGGAGATCTCATCATACCTACACAACTACGCCGACAGTAACATCCCGCACAAGCAGCAACCCATCATCAAGGCGTTCGCGAAGGCACTCGAGGTCATTCCTAGGCAACTGTGCGACAACGCCGGTGTCGACGCGACGGACATCCTCAACCGCCTTCGCGTAGAGCACAAGAAGGGCAACATCTGGGCCGGTGTCGACTTCACAACTGAGAGCATAGCAAACAACATGGAGAAGTTCGTGTGGGAGCCTAGTCTGGTCAAGGTCAACGCTCTGCAGGCGGCGACAGAGGCGGCCTGCCTCATCTTGAGCGTTGACGAGACAATCAGTATGTGAAACCATGTCGTGTAGTCAGCAAGTGCTAACAACAAGCAGAGAACCAGGAGTCACAGCAACCACAGGCACCCAACAGGCCGCTACCACCAGGCGCCGCCCAAAGGGCACTCGGCGGAAGGGGACGGGGCCGCGGCATGCCCAGACGGTAAAGACACAGAGACAAGAGAAGGGGTGTATACCACAACACGGACACGCTTATGCTACGCCACGTCGTAGAGACAGCTGTCTATGAATAATGCGAAAAGGAAGAATTGAACAACATCACGTTCACACGTCTGTGCAGCATTCATGGACTTCTCACAACTATTTGCCGATTCAGTGACCGTTATTGGCAGTCCTTCATTGCTAACGTTATACTCCGCATCTTCGACTCCTACTCCTTGATCCCCCTCTCGTCCCAGCTCATCCCGTAACTCTTAACCCTACTAAAGTAAAAGGCACGATCGTTCTTCAGCCCAAACTCGGCCCAATCATCCGTCAACCGATTATAGCTCCAATACCCTTGCCAAACCAGTTTGTTGTTCTTAGCCCCCCTGCCCGCATTACCAAAATTAAGCGCCATCTTATACATGTACTTTGGCGTCGCTCCCGGCTTCTCAATATGCACCGTGCCCTCTTGTTCTCCACTACCCGGTTCAGGTCCACTCATACGCCAGCGGCCCAGCACAGCGTCTTTCATCGGCGCGCTAGGTAGGTTGTGGTGGTTCTTACGGATGTGTTCGGTGTAGAGATACGGCACTACGTCTGCGGGCTCGGCCGTGGTAAGTAGCGAGATACACGTCCCATCGCGGAGGAAGCGTAGGTAACGGAAGTAGGTTACAATGTGGATGGGTGAGTTCCAGGAGGAGGTTGTGGGCTCGGCTTGGCCTGGGCGCGTGTAGTTTACTGTGCTGATGTAGCAGCCGTTGAAGCGGATGCGCGGGCGTTGACGGAAGAGCACGCGGTAGGTGGGGTAGGGGGTCGGCACGAGAAGTTGGGTCAGGAGTGCTGGAGGGAGTGGTTCAGACTCAGGTTCTGTCTCTTCGCTGTCGGAGAGGTCGAGGTTGGCGGTACCTAGCGTGATGCCGCCTGTTTGGTCGTCGTCGAGGGGTTTCCCGCCTACTTCGCAGGACCAGGTGTAGTGCATGGACGCGAAGCCGTATTCAGGTCCGATAGCTAGTCTTTTCCAGACGCGGTCTTCGGTGGTTACGAGGTAGGCGAGGCGTTTGCACACTTGGGCTAGACGGGCAAAGGATACTATGTCCTGGACTGCGAGCTGCTCCAATATCTCCACGATAATTTCTTCTGGAATGTTGGAGATTGGACATGGAGGCGCGGGACTGAATTCTGTTGGTGGTAGTTCGCCGAGGATGGAGGTGCTGGCGTATTCGCTGATGAGGTTTTGATACGAGGGCGAGAGGCCATGTAGGGAGTGGTGGGCAGTATTTGGTACTGTAGCAGAGGCATTGGATGGGTTGGGATCCTGGGGCTTCGGAGCAGCTGATGAAGCCGATGCGCTTGCCGCTTGTGCAGCTTGTGCAGCTTGTGCAGCTTTGAGCTTCTTGAAGTATGAGGGCGGGAAGTACTTTGCCTTGTAGGTCTCTTGGACTCCTGAGTCAAGCTTAAAAGCCTTTCTGTATAGATCGACGCTATCACCCAAACTACCTTGACTCTCTTTCTCTACGGCTTTCTCATAGTGTTCTAATGCCGATGTTGGTTCTGCCTCCTCAGCAATAGCGGCAGCGGTTTGAGCACTGGTCTCATCAAGTCTCCGGCCATGTTGCTTCTCGCCCAGATTGTGGTACGTGTATGAGTTGACTTCGTCGCCGCCTTCTAGGCTCAAACTTCGAGCGCGAGTGTGATGTTGAGCATCCTGCGCGTTGCTTTTGCTTGGATGGGGTTTGCCGGTGGATGAGGAAGTAGCGGTGGGCTTTGCGGATGCCGACGAGGCAGGCGCCTTACCCTTGGCCCGGGCAGTGACTTCCTCTCTCCATTTCTGACGGAAAGACTCAAGCTCGGCCTCGGTGCTGGTGGGAAGGTCCTTAGGGTCCATGGTAACAAACTTGGCCAAGATGGGTAGTACTTGTCGGTTAGATGCGGTATGTCCGAAGTCGCAGGTGTCGATGGCAATAGGGCGTGCAGGGTACAATGCAGAGGCTAGCAGCAGGCTTTAGTAAGGATACATATTCAAAGAAATGTGACTCAGGACAATTTTCTGTTCACAGCGATTAGGCGTGCATGAAGGGGCCTGTGAAGTCACGGCGAGGCGATGAAGGGCGCCACTCGATGCGTGATCTAGCCCCGGCCCCATGCGCCATCTGATAAGCCAACGCCCTTTCCTCTGGCTTTCGGCCGGCGGTCCAATCACTCGGCGGGGGCGCAACGTGGGCGGCGCGGGAATGACGCGCCAAAAGTGCGTAGTTCCTTCCGATAATTAAGTCCTTGCGTCAAAGCTTCCCGTCGCCTTCGTCACCACTTGTGCCTGCCTATCACCCCAGAAAACAATGCGCAGTACGCCCTTTTCGCCCATCCAGCCCTCTGCCACCACCACCCTCACCGCTGAGAGGTAACACGCCGCTCCCCTGCCATCCCGACCACCGGCACCATGGCCACGGCCACCCAGCGAGCCGAGGAAGCGGACCCGAGCGGTGTGGGCGATGTGTCGCTCGGACAAAAGATGCTGTCGGCAGTGTCTGGCAGTGTCCTCACGTCGTTACTAGGTATGCAATATCTGCACATTTCTCCAACAAATGTCTTTCCGACTGCGTTGTTCTTATCTCGTCTGAACTCTGCACATCTGGGTACTCGCATCATGGAAGTCGATACTAACACCCACCAGTCACACCCCTCGACGTCGTCCGCGTACGATTACAATCACAAGAAACCGTCTCGACCACAGCGTCACGGCCACACGGTTACAATGGCGCAACACTCACTCAATTCCGCGATCTGCCTCCGAACCTCGGCATATCGTCTTGCTGTAGAGAGGTCTTCTGGATGAATAACAAAGCACCTTTCTGTGTGGCGGGGCCTACCATGGCACCCATCAACCCCGCCGATCTGAGCTGTGCGGTAGAGGAGGTCGAACGGAAAACAATAAATAGCACATGGGACGGGCTACGCAAGATCGCACAGAATGAGGGTCCGCGGACACTCTGGAGAGGACTGTCGCCCACATTGGTCATGGCAGTACCTGCAAACGTCATCTACTTCGCCGGATACGATTGGCTACGCACCGCACAAGCTTCGCCCCTACGACAAACCGTATCCGATGCCTACATACCATTAGTGGCAGGAGCGACTGCGCGGATACTCGCTGCGATAGCGGTAGGCCCGATCGAGATATTCCGAACGCGAATGCAGGCAGCGAACTCCACTGCCACCGCCGCCGGCCACTTTCGAGACACAATGGACGGACTGAAAGACATGGTCGGCAACCAAGGAGTCTTCAGTCTATGGCGGGGCCTCACATTGACCCTCTGGCGCGACGTACCCTTCTCGGCCTTCTACTGGTGGGGTTATGAAGCCACAAGAAATGTTCTGACCGACCAACGAGGACGGAGAGAGGCAAGAAACGATGGTTTCGAGTTCCGGATGGGCCGTGGTGAGGAGAGGGTACGACGAAGAAGCAGATCTCGAAGTCAGGAAAACCACAGAGACACACTAGTCGATAGCTTCATCGCTGGTGCTACGTCAGGAGCAGTCGCGGCCTTTGTCACCACCCCATTCGACGTCGGAAAGACAAGACAACAAGTCGCGCGGCACATGGGCGAGACCGCTAAAGACATTGCGAACTCGACACGGCCAGAAGACCAATCCATGCCACGATTCCTGATGCACATCTACCGCGAGCAAGGCATGCCAGGTTTGTTCAAGGGTTGGGCTGCCCGATGTCTCAAGATCGCACCGGCATGCGCCATCATGATCAGTTGTTACGAGTTTAGCAAGAAGATGGCCCTGGATATGAATGAACGACGAGAACGAGAGCGACAGGACGCATGATCTGCCACACTTCACACCACCGACCCCAGTGCATTCTACACTTCGCACCGAGCATTCACGTTTTTGGCTTCACATGTTTTATGATTATTGCATAGCGGCGCATTAGGAGCATGATGGTAAAACCCACCCACACTTGCATTGACGGCGTTTGATGCAGACATTGGGCGGTCGTTCTTTTTTTGAGCCGTTAAAATGGTCCACAGCGATACCAGCGAGTACGTTTTGCGCATAATACATGCAGCAATCCATAATGTAAAACACCCATTACTATTTAGGTTAATTTATCCTTCAGTGATATCCCTGTCCAGATTCTCCAGGAATCCCAGAAACGCCTGCTGACACTGCTCCGCTTGAGTGACATATATCTCATGTCCAGGGCCCTCGACAAGCACGAGCTTGCTTCCTTCGATCTTCTCCCTTAAAGCTTTCATGTCTTCGACTCTCACGGCAGCACTCTGTGTCGGTGACAGAATCAACGTCGGCACTTTTATCCTCTCCAACCACGGTCTCGCATCCAACGTCGACAGAAACTCTGCGTATTGGCCCAATCCCTCACCGTCACTAACAGCAATCTGTTCTAAATACCACGGAAGATACTGCGGATCCGTCACAGGGATAGTCCCCGGAATGCGCGACAACTCCTCTGCCCAACCCCGCGACCCAAGCTCCCTGCACGCCGTCGGCCAATCCTTCCTACCGAAAGCGAATAGCCGCAAAGCCACTGGAGGTAGATAAGTCGGTGTAGAGCAAACAGTCAAGCTCAGCAGCCTCTCTGGGTGTTTCGCCGCGAATATCTCGCCCAGAATGCCCCCTGTCGATTCGCCGAGGAAATGCACTCTCTCGACATCAAGTTGATCAAGCGTATCAACCATTTCTCCTAGGATCGTCTCTAGAGAGTAATCATACACTTCCGAATCTTTCGGGTAACTGGAGTGTCCATGGCCTCGCAAGTCCCGTCGTATGACACGGTATTTGCGAGATAGAACGGGGATCCAGTGGTACCAGAAGGCGGCGTGGCGCCCGAAACCGTGTTGTATCAAGATTGTTTCTCTCGATTTCCATGGGTCGGTAAAGTCATTCAGGATGTAGTGGGTTCGTTGACCGGAAGGGTGGTGGATGAATGTTCGGCCGGAGGCGTCGCGTTCTAACGACATGGTGAGGATGGGGTGTTGGGTGTTGCGGCTTTCGAATCGTTTTGCCTTGAACACCTTTTACCGTCCAGGCATATTTGGTTGTTCACAACCTTTCGCTCATCCCCAATGCCGACCCGGTCTCACTAGCATCCTATTGTAGAATCCTGGGGTACAGCGGCTTGTGGGGCCCATGTTGCGGGGAAGCTGCAGGGTCCACGAATTACCTAGGTATACCCCAATTCTTGGAACTATGCATCCTCACGAACAGGAACGTTAAAGTTTGGAAAGTCTGAAGCTAAAGGTTATATTAACAGAAAAGTCACATTACAAGTTACTGTCTAGGTGCTTCGGGGTGGGCTTTCAAGTGGTTACCGATTTTCTCTACGTTGCTACAGCAAATACCTAAATGGCTATCCTCGACATTGTCCAGACGACATCGCAATCGTCTTTTATCGTTAAACTTGGGCTGATTGCCACAACACCATTACTTCTTCTCTTGACTATATACTTCATTGTCGTACCCAACGCCATCAAAGTAACAGAGTCCATGAGATAACCCGTCTCGTATCATCGCTAAATCTGACCGCAGGACCGAAGACGTCGACATCTCCCACCAGGTCCCAAGGGCCACCCATTCGTCGGATCCCTTTTCGAACTGGCAGACACCGAAGCCGTCCGCGAGAAAGCCATCGCCTGGCGCAAGCAGTACGGCCATGTATTCCACACCAAGATCGGCGGAACAGACTACATCTGGCTCTCCTCACCTCAAGCGGTGAAAGACCTCATGGATAAGAAATCCAACATCTACTCCTCGCGCGCTCCAGCCCCCATGGCTCAGGACGTTTTATCAGCGGGCCGCCGCCAACTCTTCATGCAATACGGGCCCAGGTGGCGCAGTATCCGCAAGCACAGCCATGCGCTCCTCAATTTAACAGCAAGCACGAACTATCAACCGGTGCAAGACTTTGAAAGCAAAGTCCTGCTGCAACAACTAATGCGCGACCCTGCTGACTTCATGTCCATCAACCGCCGCTACTCCGCGAGCGTCATCATGCAAGTCACATACGGCTACCGCATACCCAGCTGGGATGACCCGCTCATAAAACGTATCTACGGCGTCATCGACCGTTTTACCGTAAACACCGCGCCCGGAGCTTGGGCTATAGATTCCTTTCCCGCGCTAGCCTCGCTGCCGCAATGGCTCTTCGGCAACTGGCGTACCCATGGACAGAAGCTGTGTGAACAAGACAGTAAAGTGTATCTCGATTTGTGGAACAAGTTGAAGAAAGACACAGATGCTGGTGTAGCGAAAGATTGTTTCACGAAAACGTTTTATCTAAACGGGCCTGAGAAATCGGGGATCGATGATTTGGCCGCGGCGTACACGTGTGGTGGGCTTATTGAAGCAGGGTCTGAGACTACGGGGTCAACGCTTAATAACTTTGTACTCTGTATGGTGCTGTTTCCTGAGGCTCAGAGGAAGGCACAGGAAGAGTTAGATAGGGTCGTTGGGCGAGATAGGTTGCCGACGTGGGAGGATGAGGAGAAGTTGCCGTATGTGAGGAGTGTGATCAAAGAGGTATTGAGGTGGAGGCCCGTGAACAAGTTTGGCATGCCGCATGCGAGTAGTGAGGATGATTGGTATGAGGGATGGTTTATTCCCAAGGGAAGTGTTGTTGTGTTGAATTGGTGGTATGTTTTCGTTTCCTTCCCCGTCGTCTTACTGAGTGTCGTCTGGCTAATTCCCATGATAGGGCGATACACAACGATCCAACACTCTGGTCTAACCCCACGGCGTTCGACCCATCTCGCTATCTGAACCACACCGCATCAGCGGCACACTATATGAACAGTCCCGATCCTCTGGAGCGCGATCACTTCACCTATGGTGCGGGGCGGCGTGGATGTCCTGGTGTCCATGTTGCTGAACGCTCACTCTTCATAAACGTATCGCGCGTACTCTGGGGGTTCAACCTCAACAAGAAGAAAGGAAAAGATGGAGAAGAGGTGGAGGTAAATAAAAAGATGGAGCCAGGGTTTATGAGCGTGCCAGAGCCGTTTGAATGCGAGATCAGGCCGAGGAGTGAGACGCATGCTAAGGTCATGAGGGAAGAGAGCGAGAGAGCGGAAAAGGAAAGATTGCATTATTGACGTGGTCAGTTTGGTGTTCACAGATACGATAGCTTCAAGACAAGTTCATTCGATACCATCTCATTAAGACGAGTGTATAAGCAAGTGGGTATCAAAGTATTCACATGCTTATGATACCCACTTGCTTATACACTCGTCTCAATGAGTTGCTACCAAAGTAACTGTACCGAATCAGAGCCTACCAAAACTTCGACGTGTGGCTGATGTAGAACTACTACTAGTATCCTGCCCTCTTCGGCGGCTCCTTGTACCCCACATCCCAGATCTTATCACTCTCCAAGCCAATCCACCGTTGACTCTCATTGGGATAATCAACCTGTTGTCTGAAGTAGATATTCTCCTGCGATAACTCCACAGCCTGGCCTGTCAAGGTGTCGTCCGCTAGGAAAGCGTCCATGGCCTTGTTCACCGTCGATAAAGGTGTGATGTGCTCTTTCGGCCATCGCGCTGCTACTTCTGGTGGACAGAGATTTGTGGGGATAAAGGCTGGGCAGATTGCGTTGACGGTGATGCCTTCTTTGACGAAGACGGGGCCTGAGGCGCGGCATAGACCGATCACGCCGTATTTACTGGCGGTATACTGGGGGCATTGCGTCATGGCGCTGGAGGTCCCGTTAGCTTCTCGAGTTTTCCAAATACTGAAGAGAGTGCGGAGAAGTGACTTACTATAGTCCTGCCGCACTACTCGTAGCGACGAACTTGCCCTTCCCTCCACCTGCCTCCTTACTTCGCCTAACATAATACTTGAACAGCCACAGTCCCTGGATGACGGCCTCAAGATTGACCTCCATAGTCTTCGTATTCAGCTTCTTGACCAAGCCGTCCTCATCCAGCTCCTCCTTGTTCATATCCTCAAAGATGTTCTGTCGATCATCGATACCAGCATTGGCATGGCAAAAGTCCAGACGGTTGCCGCCCCATTCGTACGCGCGTTTGAACAGCTGTGCTTGCGATTTGTAGGATGAGACGTCGACTTGATGGAATATGGCGTCGGGTCCAAGGGCACTGGCTACGCGCTCGCCGGACGAGGGATTGAGGTCCGCAACGACGACTTTGAAGCCTTTGCTGTAGAGGTGGGTTGCGACTGCTTCGCCGATGCCGGAGCCGGCGCCTGTCACGATGGCCACGGGTTTCGACATGTCGATTTTGTGTTTCGTGCTTTACCAAAATCGAGATCCAAGGTGCTTACAAGAAGCAATCCAGAGGTGTGTAGGAAGGAAGCTACGATACGCCTTCACACAAGCGTGGTATGCCTTACTACACCATCGCTCTCGCACCTTTGCCGATCGGAAACATCGTCCCGGCTAAGCTGCGCGGCAAACATCGTCGTTGCTGTGTTCATGGGGCGTGGGGATGTGCTCGAAGACCCCACATGCTGCACGTCGGGAGTTGAGGACAGAGCCGAGTTTACCCCGCACTAAACTGCATGGGGCGTGCGGGGGTGAAAGCGCTCGGCGGACGGTCGCGAGCGACGTGCATTTTCGTTTTCGGTAAACCGATGCCGAGATGCACGAGAAGATATGAGATGAGCAACAACTACGCAACCTTTGCTACTGTCGTAAATACAGGTAGAGGACTCGGGTGCTCGACACGAGTGTGGCCGACCAGACCTTGGAAGCTCTCATTCGCTACTTCCCAGCAACAAACAGATCCCACGCCACACTGACCTCATCTAAAACGACAGCTCCTACTTGACTCAATGTCTCCGACCTGTCAACATCGCCAGAGTCGGGCCCATACGTTCTAGCTTGACCCTCCGTCCAAGTACCACCAGCCCGCCCATACGCAAAAGCCACAAAGTCCTCCGCGATTTGCCTCGCCGTCATCTTCGCCTGATCAGGTATATGCTCATTGAAGTTCTGAAATAAGAACACTGCATCCATCAAATGCACGCTCTTCCCCTTGAACATGCCGTCCCAAGGATTTGGCTCAGTAAAGAGATACGAGGAAACCCTCCCCTTGAAAGCACGCGCGTAGTACGATGCAGGAAGCCCATACGCGATGTCCGTTCCTAAGTTGATGATGGATGTCATGGCCTCTTCGTCTGGAGTTGAAGGTGCGATACCGTATGCAGATAAGACGGCTTGAGCAACAGATGCCGAGAGGTTGCGGGAGAAGGATGTATGGATCGCGGATGCGATGCCAGGAAGGCGCGAACTCAGACCCATGAAATAAAAGACGTTCCCATCGTCTGCGCACGAGCCGATCAACAAGTCCTCGCACCGAGTGTTATTCAAGCTCTGGAGCGTACCATATGATAAGTTTGCGAATGAGGGCGCTTCGGGAATCATGTCGCCATCCAGGTAGGGAGCGAGTGGAATCTTGATTGGTATCTTCTGGACCAGGTCTTCGGGACTCATGGCAAGTAACTTCTGAATACGATCATGCGTGGGAGCGTCTTCGAGTCCCAGGGCTTGCAGAACAGCCTTGTAAGATTTTTCGGCCACAGCGGGTGAGAGTGGTTTGAGCATGAGCGGCGTACCTGACATGCTGATCGCGCGTCTGAACAGTGGCTCTTTGCAACTCAGATGATGCAATACGGAGGCTGTCTTGTATTAGCACACTCCCGGTCCACGTTAAGATAACAACTTGTAATAACTTACCAGCACCGGCACTAACCCCAAACACAGTAACATTCTCCCCATCGCCTCCAAAGCCACCGATAAATTTCTTCACCCACTTCAACGCACACCTCTGGTCCCTCAGACTGTTGTTTCCCAGATACCCAGCGCTTCTCAACTCCCCACTAGTCAGATTCCCCGGTGCACCTAGTCGGTAGTTCACACTGACGACGACTGTCGGCATACCAATATCAGCGCTCATCTTGACGAGACGTGCAGGATCCCATTGCGGCCAAGAGTTTGCGCCCATGATGAGGCCGCCGCCGTGAATGAACACCATGACTGGCAGGGCGCTGCCGGTTTCCGTGGGAAGAGACGGGACAGTGATGTTTAGATTGAGACACTCCGAATGGGACATGTGAGTCTCGGGTGCGGCACCGATGTTGCATTGGATCAAGGTGGACTGCTCGAATGTGCAAAGGTCTGGTGCTGGGGCGCGTGGTCTGGTGTTGTCAGTATGATAGTTTGGACCACGGAAGGTCGAAGAATAACTTACCCGTATCGTGTAGCATCGACGACTTCGTTTCCATACGAAGTGACGATTTCAGGCGCAGAGAGCCAGTTCTTCACCAGGGCATATTTAATCCCTAGGAACTTCCTCACTTCATTCTCTTCTACGCCCACAAAAGAACCGAAAGTTGTTTCAAGAGTGGTTTGTTTCATAGTTCCAGCTGAAGACATCGCAGGGAATATGCTGCTTCTATCTATTCCGTTCTCTGCGAAATGGACCACCTTATATACACCTTCCTTGTCCACAAACATCATCCCTTTACCCTCCCTATCACATCCCATCCCCCTAACGCAACTCGACACAGCATTTACCGCGTACCTGCACACTAAGCCACCAGGATCAAAGGAAGCGGGTACTTAAGGCGGGCGTAATCCTCCACCCCCAATTGAGCGAAGCGCGCACGTGACATCGGCCGAACTCTACGGACTCTGTATACTAAAACATTACGCTATGACCTTCCTCACGTGCATAGTTGGTACCGTTGAGATTGCTGCCGTGTCCAAGTTCGAAGAAACTTGATTATACCTGGTAATATGTCGAGGTGGTGGTATTGATAGCAAGCTAACGATGCAGAATACGTTAGCGTAAACAATGTGCCGTGATGCTTGTATCGAAGATAATACTTTGGTTTGGGTATTGCTTCCTCTGAACTACTACTGCAAAACATCTTGCTATATGACTGATTGCCATCGTCCGAAACTCGACAAAGATCTATCCCTTGACCTCAACACTTTTAACCAACTCCCCACCCAACCGCTTGATCTCATGCACAATACCCTCTCTATTCGCTTTAATCTCAACATCATCCTTCTTGCCAGCCACGGGAACACTGTTCCACCCAGGCTTGACCTTCCAACTCCTCTGCGCTGTAACGACTGGGTTCCACAGCCCAACGATCTTGTCTAGTGTCTCCGGGTCCCAGAACCAGAGCACGGCATCGCCGTAGATTTCTAGTAGGTCTTGTGCGAAGAGCTGCGGGAGCGGTGGTGCGGCCGGTGATGAGCTGGTCGTGGACTTCTGGAGGTCGAGGTTCTTGAATTTGGGAGTGGATTTGCTAGATTTGGTTTGCTTGAGCGTGTGTTTCGTGGAGATGGTTATGGTGATGTCGAAGTCGGAGATACCGGGCGTGAAGAGTGCTTCGGGCGAGAAAGTGTTCTGTGCCTTAGCAGCATCTTTGCTGTTGTTAATATGCTTCAGCAGACGGTCTTCGTCCGCCCGAACAGCCTGCGTAGCCGCCTTTGCCAACGCCGTTAAACGGGCGGCAACAACTTTTTCAGGCTTCGCTTTATCTGTCCAGGTGGTGCCTTCTTCGTCAAGGTTTGTTGCAGCAAAGAGCACGACGCGGTTCATGGCTGGATCTATGCGACGCCATGCTTCGAAGCGCGTCCGTAACCGGTCGAGATCTTCAGACTTCATGCCCTTGGATGTGGTGTCCTCCAAATCTGCTGGGTTTGCGGAGAACGTTGTCGAGAAGTCGACTATCAATGGGACATGTCTCCAGTCCCATCGGCTTATCCAAGACAAAGTCCGTAGGAAGCCGGTAGTTGCGGTTGTGGGTACAGGCCATGGGTGCGGCTGCAGGAATGTGTGAATGACGAGAAGCTCAATAAGCTCAGGCGAGAAGTGCGGCGCCAGAAGGTGCGATGCGAACCACTTCTTCGTCAACCGTATGGCTGGCGAGAGAGCCAAGAAACGGGTACATAACGTCTGTAGTACCTGCGAATGCATAGGGGACTGAACAAACTCGCGTTTGTACAGTGCCAGAGATGCAGCAGCGGATTCTCTTGATGGTCCATCCAATGACTTGTCCTTGATCTGGCGGTCGAATAGCGTAGGTTCACGGTCGTGGTAGATGCGGATACGGAATG